CCAGTTTAGAATTTCTCAAGCATTTTGAATTGTTACTATTGAACTTGTTATTGGGGGGCAAGCTGCATTTGTTTTTTTAACTATTCAGGGTTATTCACAAAAGTGAGAATTCCAATAGAATTCAAAATAAATTTAAAATTTAAGTCCGAAGTAGCCAAACTGGAAAAATTCTCAAAGTCAGCTATGATTCCAGTTCAGCTAACTTTCACTTTGAATTCACTTGGAATGCTCACGTTAATGAATAACCCTGACTTTGTAAACTTTTTTTTTTTACGTTTACTTAAATATATGAAAGGAGTTCTACTCCGTTATTTTATGTTTATTTTTCCCCAATAGTTTCAAAATATGAGAATATAAGTTTGCAAATATTGTTTATGATGTTTCTTGATTTTGATTATCTTAAAGAGACACTATAGGTGTTCTGGGCGCAGTCACAGGTCCCTTAACCCTGCAATGATAATTATTGCAGTTATTGATAAACTGTAAGGTTAACTTCACCTATAGTACCGGTCTACCAGATAGCTACTAGAGGAACTTCAACGTAGTTAGGCGACTTTTGGTATGCATGAGAACATCCAGCACCAGTAAAAAAAATGCCAACTCACCGCATCCGTGGTACACTTCAACAATTGTGCATCTTGGTTTTTGGTTCGGAATGTTCCTAAAGGGGTGTTATTGTTTCCTGCATGGGCCTGGATCATAAAACCTTTGAATTGTGTGTCACTGGAAGCTACGAGCGTGACTGCAAGATGAATGAAGACAAAGAACATGAGCAAGTGGAAGATTGATATTAAGCACTGGTCATCTGAACCTAAATCTGCCATATTCAGTAAACTAATTCCATTTACATTTTATATTTAAATTTACGTAAAGCTGGTTTTCTGTATACATGGGGATTGTCTTTCAAAATGCTAAACCAGAGTTGTTTAGATGACAAAGTTTTTTACACTGAAACAATGAAATTGGAGGCAAATAGCTTGATTTTTATAGCAATCTGTGACAACTAGATTCATAACGTTTATCCTTTGTGGACCAAATGCCACACTTTGCTGTTATTTATATCGGGTCTCTAAAGACTTTATGCCAGCACTCTATGCCTTGCTGATTTAGCTTAGGCATTTCCTTGAAGCCCTGCGGTTGTTAAATGAGTGAGGCATTCTTGGCCGGCCCTAGACATTGTGCTGCTTGTGTTTCAAGACAAAATACTTCCTTCTTGTCACCTACATGCCTGGAGTTAAAATTCATATTTCATTTCATAAGATAACTCCCATATTGGTAGCCCCTTTAACTCTTTGTTTAATACACTACTCACACTACAGCTACACTAATCAGACAGACAGTTAGTGTTGCATAATATGCGTGAGTGCACTCAATGAGAAAAGGAAGAAGGGCGTTATGACTGAACAACCATAACAACCACTGTGCCATTAAAGAGAGAATTTACAGCACTAGCATATCAGATCAATCCCTCTCATTAGGGCAGTCCAGATCCTAATAGCTCTCAAGTTCCCTCTGAAGTAACTCCATTCTTTTTTGGCCTTCTTTGGGCCTCATCAGTGAGGTGTAGCTGATACCACTCTAGGCACAACTGAGAACAAGGTTCACACCGGTATTACTGTTTTAAATTAGGGAGACACAAGCAAATATGCACGCATATCATTTTTTTTTTTTTTTTTAAGTAAAAAACTGACTGTGCTCTGTTTATTGAATAAATACTGTACATTTACCTTGGACAATAGACTCTGGACCATATGTAGTAGTAGATAGTTGTAAAGTATAGGGGGCAGCTGATGTCTGAGCTGTAGTTCCATGATTTGGCTCCATTGTATTACAGGAATCTGTTACTAGCCCGTTTGGATAAGCAGCAGTGCATGGGATGAAGATGGCAGCCAATATGACCACAAAGTTCTTTACTGAAGATTCCATCTGTGGGTAAATTTCACTAGAATAATGAATTTGTAAAATGCAATTAAAACACAGATACTCTAAAAAGGAACACTATTGGCACCCAGACCACTTCATCTGTCTGTACACCTTGCCCCACCCCACCCTGTTTTAATCCTGCAGTTGAAAACATTGCTGTTCTGCAGTTCTTGATGACAACTAAACAGGTGGAGCTTCACCAAGGAGAATAGCTGTACTTGGTGGACGCAAGTCTTTTTTCAGCCTATGTAACTGTGTAACTAAGAGACCATAGCTGCAAGGGAAAAATATAAATACACTAATTTTTTAAACCCTTGCCATGGGGGCCAGGTCACCTAAACAATGACTAGGACACTATAACTGTAGAAATACATGTTTTTATTCCTAACACAACTGTGGTCCTTTAACCCCTTAAGGAGATTGACATGTGTGACATGTCATGATTGCCTTTTATTCCAGAAGTTTGGTCCATAAGGGGTTAAAAAGGAATCATCATCAACAGATTTGCTTTCTAAATGGTAAGTTAAAACAGGTGGAAAATGGCGCTTTTAAAATCTTATTTCAAGGCCATACATACAAAACAATATATATATTGCAGCACCTTTTGGGAGTGAATCCAAACACTTGCAAGTTCAAAAGGTTAAAATAAAAAGGTGCGCAGTGTCTTTAAATCTTTAAAGTGAAAAATTCAATACGTATTTTGTGCAACATTTCAATGACAATAAAGTGCAACAATTAAAGTGCAATTGATAAAGCTTTATGTGACATTTTCTTGATATTAGTGCCACACAAGTGGCAAAAGTGCACTGTGCAAAAAAGTTTGAAATTACCACAACTAAAAAATGTAAATTTACTCAAACCACTCAAAGAGGTAAACGATATCTATATCGTACAAGATAAAAAAAAGGGGGGGGGAGGAGAAAGAGAAAATATATAGTGTGATACTGTTTCAACACTGAAAAAGAATAAAAAATGAGAGATACACACTCTGAGTCTGCTCTAACTATAACGGCTCCAAACAGTGATCCCAAAGGAGATGCAGGCAGAAAACCTGAGGCTGGTGAACATGTAGATCAAATCTTTATTTCACACAACCTTTTAAAAAATAGCAATATGCAAGTAGACCCTCTTCCTTTCTTCCTCACCAGGCAAGGTTCTTAGTTGGTCTCAGTATGTGGCCAGAATCCCAGGACTGAAGTGCAGGTATCCCTTGAAACTTCCGGGAGGCAGGGTTATGCTCCACTTGCATGCGTAATGATGTTAGTAGCGTAATGACGCTTTTTGCCGTAATGATGGCTTCCTCAGATCTACCTTCTTACTGCCTGTGTCTCACTTAAAAGTCCACCCTCTGTTTGTGTGTCCATCATTTAGTCCACGAAGACTGTCTCGTGATTGGCCAATTTTGGAACATTAGCCAATCCTGAGGCAGTCTTAATGGACTAAATGACACAGCCTAGGGGCATCCTTTAAGTGAAGGGAGACCATCCTCTTGGCCCCTTTTCTCTAATCAGTTGTTCCTACGCCGCCTGCTGTATCGCCCCTCCCTTTTATGATGTGGCACATGCAATTTGATGTTGTGACATTGTTGATGTCATGGCTTGCCAAAACGTTCTAATTCAACTGTTTTGGGTGTGGCTATCAAGTTAAAGTTCCGTACTATAAAAAGGGTTCCGAGGGCATAGGTCATTACCCTGTTGTGGTCCAAGTTTGGTTCCCAATAGCACTTTCTGTTCCTGTGTATTATTCTGGTTCAGACTTTGGCTATGTTTGACTATCCTATCTCCTATTTTCCTTTGACTTGGCTATTGTTATATTGCTATTCCTAATTTCTCACTTCCCTGACAATGGCTTGTGCCAAACTATTCTCTGTCCTTGTATACATTAGCCTAGCCACTCTAAGGTCTGATAAATGTGAATCCTTTCTATTTATCATGCTCTGCGTTTTGTATTCCTGACACTAGAATAGCTCCGCATGCTATGTGCTTAGATATCTTGTGATACCATAATACATGGGTAGGCAGTGTTTGGCATACCAAATGTTGTGGACTACATCTCTTATAATGCTGGCAAAACTTCTGGGGAAATGTAGTCCACAACATCTGGAGTGCCAAAGGTTGCCGACTCCTGCCATAATAGCCCCACTGATGCACTAAAGAATAAACATAGAACTTTTATTCTGGTATCAATAAGTAGAAATGTGCTAGATTATAAAAATATTGCACTTTGTATTTATTGTGTGTAGTTTAGCTGTGCCTGCAGAACTTCATCTTTAAATACACTTTTATCAGTTTTTAGTTTGAAAAGTCTATTATGTCTAGTGCTAAGTTTCAGCTTCCCATGGTCAATCTACTACGCAATCTAAATAACCACTGACAACCAGGGCCGTACTGGGAATGAAAAGCAGCCCTAGAAATATTTTTTATACCAGCTCCATAATGCATTGCGCCATGGAAGCAGAAAAAAAACAAAAAAAACCTGAAAACTGATTGATCCAAGGCAGGGCCGGACTGGGGATACAAAGCAGCCCTGGAAAAAAATTTTGTGCCAGCCCCATAAGTCACTGCGCCATATATTGTCGCGTGTAATATGTAAGGCTATGTCTTGCCAGGACAGATGATTGAGTAATATATATATATATATATATATATATATATATATATATTGCTTTTTCTAATATAAAATATTGGTCCTTTCAGGGTAAAACGTTTAATTATACAGTAAGCATACGCACATGCAGACACAGGCAATTTCACTGACATTTCAGTGACACACACAAGCTCATTGATACACAGCCTCATAGACAAACAATCTTACTGATATACATCAGCTCATTGACATAAAAACACAAGCTCACTCACTAGCAGGCACACACATGCAAGCAAGCTCACTCACTAGCAGACGCACACACACAGCTTAATGTGGTGGTACTGATGTCTATAGCATGTCCCTACAGGCTTTTCAACGTAAACACTGACTTTTCAGACAAAAGGCAGTGTTTACATTGCTTCAAAGTGACACTGCTAGTCATAGGCGTGCGCAGCCTATTGCATTAGGGTGTGCACCCTAAAGCACAAACACACGCCGCGCGTGTGTGTGTGTGTGTGTGTGTGTGTATATATATATACATATATATACACATATATATACATATATATATATACGTATATATATATATTCACAGACACACACACTCACACTCACAGAAACACACACATACTCACACACTCACAGACACACACACACACACACACTCACTGACACACACACACTGACACATACTCACACACTCACTGACACACACACTCACAGACACATACTCACACACTCACAGACACACACTGACACACACTCACAGACTCACAGACACATACTCACACACTCACATTGACACACACACTGACACATACTCACACACTCACAGACACATACTCACACACTCACAGACACACACTGACACACACACACACTCACACACACTCACTGACACACTCACAGACACATACTCACACACTCACAGACACACACTGACACACTCACAGACACACACACA